ACTAAGCTCTCCAAGGTCAACAAGTTTGCCCATGGATTACCAGCGGACTTTGGTCCAATGGTCAAGCAATCAACCACTCTAGAAGCCGCCATCTGGGCTGCTAAGAATGTGGAGACCCAGATAAGAGAGAAAGGTCTGGAGAGAGCTGAAGTTGGCGAGAAAAGGAAGCACGAAGGATCTTCAAGGTCCAACAAGGAGAGAAAATCCCCGAAGTCTGGAGAAGGAGGAAGTGAAGCAAAATGGTGTGAGAAATGCAAGAAGAAGCACTTCGGAAGATGCGATGGATAAGTGACGTGATATAAGTGTGGTAGGACCGGTCACTATTCCAGAGATTGTACATTCGACAACAAGAAGTGTTACGAATGTGGAAATGATGGGCATATTTCAAAGAACTGTCCAAATAAGAACGAAGCTGCAAGGCAAAATACGCCGCTAAAGACAAAAGCAAGAGCATTCCAAATGATCCTTGACGAAGTAGATGGCAATGCAAGGAATCAGGAGTGAGGATAGATATCCGAGGATCAAGTTATGAAGAAGCCATACGGATAGTATCAGGAGGTGTAGCCTATTAGAGGCATAATATAGGTTGAACTTTAACACCTATGTAATCGTTTCAAGGAATAATATAAAACCTTCATTTTGTTATCTAATGTGTCAAGTTGTTATGTGATTTTCTTGTATGGTGACTTGGGTGAACTGCAAGACAATACTTCGGATGAGTATGAGTATGTGTGAAAGGTAGTAGAGGCCTATACTACTGGAAGCACAAGACACACGCTTGGATCAGGGAAAGTCACAAGGTTACCAAGAAGTTAGTAACTGATATTGTTTTATTCAAATTTGTTGTTACCATCATTTCAGTAGTAACTAAGAAGATGATTGTTATTCCAACCCGAGTGGTCATATCAAATTGAGTCCGACCACAATGAGTATGTTACGTGGTTCAGAGAACCAAGTTTGATGTAGCATCTGACTTAAGCCGGAAGATTAAAATAAAAGATAATCAAAGCGATCGGTAGAGGTATCACGATAGTTTCTTGTAGCTAGAAATGCTACCATTAAGATTAGATTAGAACATGAAGGAAAGTACAGTCTGTTCAGGAAGACTCTGAGAGACTTGAGTCTAAACATTGCAACATACGATGATAGGTCATTAGAATATGACACATCGTTTCATTGTAGTAATAAAAGAACTTTTCTTAAGTTTGTATCTAGTGAGGATTGAGATTGTGACTTGAAGGTCATAATTTGGAGTCTAACGTGAGACAGGGACCAAGTGCAAGATTAAGCACTACCTGCAGTCAAGTAGTCCAAGAGTTAGATACTCATCCAAAGAAACAAGGAAGTTACGATAATTAACTAGGGTGAAGAGATATCATACGAAATCATTATACTGTTCTGTTTCGTTGATGATTCCGGGACGTAATCATCCTAAGGGGGAGATAATTGTAACGCCCGCAGATCCGGGTTAGTCAATTTAGAGACAATAAGCATCAAAAATGAGTTTTTGATGGAAGATTATTTAGAAGGATTAATCATAACGAAGTTGTAGTATATGTTACAAGGGTTCAATACACATAAAGAACGCCGAAATCCGAGTTATAACGAAAGTTATGACCCGTCAAATTTTTCGGCAAAACCGGCACGGCACCGGGAGACGTAAATAGTGAATTTACGATAAAGGACATTTTAGCCTTAGTAATCTAAATAAAATTCGTAGAATAGATTAAACTGAGAGTGTCCATAAAAAGAACGCCCAAATCTGACTTCATATGAGGAAGTTATGAATTTTCTAACATTTGGCATAGCAGTGCACGACCCGAAACTCGAATTTTAGTTTGAGCGGTTTTTGGCCTACGCGACCTAAATGAGATTTGAAGATCTCACTAATAGGAACTCAACGGTAAAATGACAGACAAAAACGGAGCCCGTATATAGAAGTTATGAATTTTACGTAGACATTTAACAGTATAATCTCCTATTACTGTTAAATTTAAGATCGGTTGAGAATTAGCCGACGGAGTCTAGATGAAAGTTTTAGATACTCTTTTTACCTACGCGCGAATATAAAGAATGTCGAGATTAGAGCTCGTATGTTAAAGATATAGACGAAACTTGGTCCCTACTGTTCAAGCGCGATAAAATCGATACAGTTTTGTAAATCTGAGATAGAATGAGAATTAGCTGACGACATCTAAATGAAAGTTGTAGTACTCGTAAATACCAACGGTTGGATATAAAGAACGTCAAATATGGAGTTCGTATGAACGAGTTACAAATTATAATAACATATTTATGTATTAAAATAAAGTATAAATCATATATACGTACACATATATATACAAATGTATATATCATTAGAAAGGTATCGACAATGCGGTTATTATAAGACTAGTGTTGAGTACTTTCGACATTAGTTTAGTACAAATAGCGTTAAATCTATTTAAAATAGTATTATGAATGGGTATTTAGTCGTTTATATAACTATAAGGTCATTAAGTAATTATGGAGGGTAGTTTTTGTAAATTCAATTACTATAAATAAGAGGTTTGGTCTCCATTATTTCTTGCACCATTCTCTTGATTCAAGAGTCTTTCTCTTCTTATCACCCGAGTATTTCGGTCCCTTGTGATTCGACTTCTCTTTCTATAGTTGTAGTATTGTAAGGTGAGCGTTGAAGCGTTGCACAAATCTTTCTTAAAAAGATTCAGCGACGAAGTTCTGCCCCTGCAGAGCCCGACTCCTAGCTAAAACCCCATTGTAAGTATGTTATGCTTACCCTATTTTAATATAGCTTATATTTTAAATTAGTATTATTATTATGAACTTATAATAAATATTTGAGCTATTATTATATAAGTGTTGTTATAATATTTTTTTAACTACTCGCATTACGGGGAATCTGGTTTAAAGGGTCGCATATGGTTGTTGGATTTCAGAAGTGTTATATGCCAAAATGGTCCTGTCCTTCGGTGTTTTATGTATGGCCCCTATCTGTACATAGTGGTTGGAAAGTATTATTTAAACGCTTATATAATAGTAATAAGACTAATAATTAGTCACGATAAATATTAGACTAAAATCTAGTGGTAATAATACTAGGTTTCGTTGAAAGAAATTATTTTAAAGTAAATGAAGCGTTGTCCAAGTACCGAGTCACCACCTTATCAAGTGAGTGAATAGTTATTTTCATCTTACACATAGATATGAAGTATTTTATATAAATTACGTGCTATGTGTGCATATTATCTGAATACTTGCTGTCTATGTTGGATGAATGAATTTTTTACATGTTTTAAATGATTCAAACTATATGTTTATTTTATATCTACAAATATGTTGGGATAAAACATGGGTAGATGAAATAGTTGGTGTGTGATGAAATAAAATGAAGAGAGATAGGTGATGATAATTACGTGAGGATAGATAGGTGATGATGAATCGGTGATGTAGGATGAAAGATACCATAACCTTGTCTGACAATGTGAAGATGTAGTCACCTACCAGAGTATAGATGGCGACCACAGACTATTATAAACAACCCCGTGGAAACACTAGTAGGCCCATAACCTATAGGTGATGAATTATGAGTTCAGGCGATGTTGTAACTACGTATTCATGCGATGATACTCTAATCCCTTACTATGAATTATGAGTTCAGGCGATGTTGTAACTACGTATTCATGTGATGATGCCCTAACCCTTGTTGGGCACGTATTGAGGGACTAATCCCTGAATCAATATTGTCTATGCGATGTAGGCGATGATCCTTAGGGAGAGTCCTTAGGAACAAACATATAAGGAAATGCGATGTAAGGAGATAAGAGGTATAAATGATATAGGAGACGACCCCTTAGGATAAATCCTTAGGGAAGGTACTTAGGAATAAATAAGATAATGGGGATGAGTGATTGGGTTAATTGTTTGATAATTAAACATAATAATTATATTATTGTGGGTTGAAAACCCTATGTACTCACCAGGTTTCCCAACCTGACCCACTCAGTTTACTTGTATCACAAGTGACGAGGTGAAGTTACATTACACTGAGAGATTTAGGAGATATAGATCACTAGTGTAAATGAATGTAAGTTCTGTTTATGCTTATGTTTCTGTATTGATGATGACATAATATTTTAAAATGAATTAAAATACATTTCTTCGGAAATGCTTTGATAATGAAATTATCATGTTTTTCTGGAAACAAATTCTTCAACGTTTTTATTAAAAGAGATACTCTGATTTTTATAAAGCATAAACAAAATTGATCTTTTCTGGCTGTGAAAATTGAGATGTTACAACATATACATGTGCATTTTTGTGAGTGTTCTTGAATTAATCAATTTTTTAATTTATATATATATATATATATATATTCATTTTTTAAAAAAAATCATGTTTTCTGAAAAAAAACTAAAAAATCTCCATTTTTATAAAAAATTGAAAATATATTTTTTTAAATCCGAAATTTTATTTATTATGTTAATTTTCAAAACCCTTTATTAATGTTTCCAATAATAAAAAAAACATTAAATGAGATTGATAAGATAACGATCATGCTTTTAATGAGTTAATTTTGATCTAACGTGTCACCTTTACTTCTCAAGTTCTCAGAAAACTATGAGTTCTCAACAGATTTCATCTATATATATATATATATATATATATATATATATATATATATATATATATATATATATATATATATATATATATATATATATATATATATCGGACAAAATTTTTAATCTCCTAAGCGTTTTAGTGATTTTCGTTCCTAGCACCTCTCCTAAAGATCTCTTATTTCTAAGTGGAGTTTTTTATTTGATTCCACCAGACGGATGCCTTGTTTGGTTCTTTGCCATTCTTGCAATCATAACTGTCAAAATGTCTCAATCGAGAAACCAAGAAGATTACTATAATGTCTCGTCCCTAATCGTTTTCTATTTCAGATTGGCGACCAAAATGAAGTAATTTCAAAAAAAAAAAAAACTAGGCTTTTATCTTTTTGGTGAAGAAAATGAGTAAAGAGGCCAAGAGAGAGGAGGGCAGATGCGTCGGGGAAGAATCCCAGTCGGGCGGCAATGACAACGTTGACGGAGAAAAGGGTGGACAAAGTAACCTGGTGCACAGCTATGGTCGTCGACTACCTTCACTCAGTGTGATTTTTTAATTTTGTGTTCGTCCGCTGCATGAGTGTAGTAAAAGATGAGAGATTTTAATCAAAACAAATAGCTACCGATTAACTACGGCTTAACTTTGGAGTCTGTCACAGATTAGCTACAGGCGGGCAAGAGAGACGGCGTAGCTACGCATTAGTTACGGCCTACAAATAAAATTTAGGGCGGGGTTGGAACTCGTGTCTCCTACGTATAATACGACCATCTTACCAATCGACCGGACATGTCACATCCATGCCAACATGGTCGATTATTAGTTTTATACAATCCCTTATTATTATTATTAGACAAAACTTCAAAAATGGTTCCTGTGGTTTCCAAAAATATCAATTTTAGTCCCTAAGTTAAAAAAACCTCACAGATGGTCCCTGTGGTTTCAAAACTTTTAACAAATGGTCCTTTCGGCTCACTCCGTAAGCATTTCACCGTTTACTCATTTTTTAATAAAATATTTCCGGGGTAATTTCGTCATTTCAGTTGTAACCTTCTTTCTTTAAAAGAAATTGCATATTCGATTTTTGGTTTCCCCTTTAGCTTTATCAGTCCTCATCTCTCCTCTCCTTGCATTCAATGTTCACATGTATACTTATATTTGGTGTACTTTAAATACAAACCTGTGTCTTATGTTTTGGTGGAAGTAAAGTGAATGGGCAGTCACTTTTAGGCCACATTGTACGTCCATTCAATGGATCAATTTTGTTGAAATACATGGCTTTCCATGTTGATAACCTATATCAAGGATGGACCCATTCATCAACATGTGGGGTATTTTCACCATTTTCAATTTTGTCCCATATAGCACAAACAACATGTCTACATGGGAAACCTGTAATCTTCCAAAACCTACAACTGCAACTTTGATCATTCAAGTTTACCACGTATTGGTCTTGCCATGTGCTTGCCACTTGGTACTTTCCTGCCATTGTATTTAGCCACATACTTTGATGCATCAATCTTAATCTTTTCTAACAGTGTAGTTGCAGTAGGGGTTAGAAGTCCTTCACTCTTATCTATTTCCTTTTGCACCACACATAACCTCTTCATGAGATACTCTCTAATATACTCTAAGCAAGTCATAATAGGTTTATCCCTACCTTCATCTAGCTTAGAATTGAATACCTCACAAAGGTTATTCAACAAACAATCAGTATGTGCCCTTCCTGAATAATAGATATTAAGCGAAGACAATTACACATATAGTAAACACACAACAGGGAAGATTAAAATTTCTCAATAAATTTCTAGAAACTTACCACTAAAGTGAGATTTAGCCCAAGAGTTTGCTGGGATCTAAGACACCCAAGTATGAGCCTCTACATTGATCTTCTTCAACTCATCTATTGCTCTGTTAAAATGATTGACTGTTGTTGCTCTACCACACTCCCAAAGTTGGTCACTTAAGTCTTTTCCTTTTCACTGTTTCTTCATGTTTTCCTGGATATGCCTCAAACAGAACCTGTGTTCTGCACTAGGGAATACCTTCTCCATTGCTGGTATTATTCCCTAAACAAAAGTCAATGTATGCAACATCAATTAACCAAATGTATTTAGAAAATGTAATAAAAAAAGTTAGGTGATACATACCTTTTGTCTATCTGAAATGAAGGTAAAGTTTAAATTTTGTCCCAGATCCAGATCTTCTCCTAACATTTCCAAAAGCCATGTCCAACTACTTGTTGATTCTGTCTCTACCACTGCATATGCTACAGGGTATATGTCATTGTTTGAGTCAAACCCTACAGCAGTTAACACTTGCCCAGGGTAAGGGCCCTTCATGAAAGTACCATCCAGACCTAGAAATCTCTTAAACCAGATTTGAATCCTAACTTTAATGAACCTAAACATACATATATTCTTCTAAAAGTTCTTGTGGTAATAGATAGGGAGGTTTCTGGATACACATCAATCCGAATTGTTGTACCAGGGTTAATGTTGAGTAGCTCCAACACATAATCCCTAAAAAATCCATACTATACTTGGTAGTCCCCACTAATGATACGCTCATCCATTGACTTTTCCCTAGCAACCTTTTGCAATGACATTCCTACCTCCAGTTTCTTGCACAACTCTTCGTGCAAAGCTTTCACTGGAATTTTAGGGTTACTCTGTATTTGTTGAATAATTAAGTTTGCTACGTATCTGGAAGTGCAAGCTTTAACCGCCCTTGTTTGCAAACATTTATGCTCATCATGTACTGTTTTCACCAACCAATCCTGATTTTCATTAGCCCTCGATATTTGGACTGCCCATGGACATGTACCTTTATTGGCAATTACATCTTTACCCTTGCACTTTGCCCTACTTCTATTTGAGGGCCCATCGCCATCAACTCCTATAGAAGGCTTACTTACAACACCCTTACATTTCACCCCAATCCGGATTTTGTCATTTTTGGCTAGGTATAAAGACCTCCTTGTTGCTACAGCATGTGAGTTCATGTAGTTTTTAACATCAAGCTTGGTTTTGAAGACCTGGCCAATCTGAAATGGTTTAACATGAACCTCTCCATGTGAGCATGTACTTGACTTACTCAACTCTTTTAGCAATCTCTTCCTATCATCTTCATGAAATCCTGCAAATTGATAATCATCAATGGCAATAACTTCCAACTCATCATCAACCATGTCAGTCCCTTCATCTTTTGAATGATTGTTCAAGATTCCATGTTCATCTACATCAACAACATTATGGAATTCACTCATGTCTACATCTACATCAAATTGTATGTTAAACT